TTGGCGGAAGTTCCTAGCCTCCAGTTTGAGTCTTATCTCGCATAAATAATGCAACTCTATTATAAATAAAGTAAATACGTAATATTAAAGAGAGAGTTTCGTTAGGTTAGCACTATTTTCCATCCAGCAAACTGACCTGACGTCATTTTCGAAAGATGGAAGAGGTGTCAAATGGCAATGTAACTAACCCAAACCCTACCTTACTCTAACCCCTAACCGCAACCCTAACTGTAACCCTAACCGAATTAATAACAACAATCCAAAAAGAAAGACTTTAGAAAATCGATAGGGCGGTTTGCTCGATGGAAAATAGTGCTAACCGTTTCGTTAATGTTTTTTGAATATTTTTGGTCAAGAAACAATTAGTTGGTTTCATAATATAGTAAATCCCTGTTGTTTTGTTACTTTGTTTAGGTGTATACAGGACTTTATGTCAGGCCTTCAAGAGTAACACATGTAGATGACATTTGGGAGCATGTTGTTGTCGGGGGATTTGTGGCTATATCACTTCTTGGGTATGACAAGACACCAGTTATAGGCAAAGTCATCGAAAAATCTCAGGATAAGATATTAATAGAATACTGGAAAGGCTCGTGGAATAAAAAATGGCAGCCATGGAAAGAAAGGGGCCAACTATGGACTGACGAACTTTCGAAAGACTGTATATATTTAACAGCATTTGAGTTGCAGGACTCGAAACTTCATCCCGAAACAAAACGGCAAATGAGAGATTTCATGTCTCGAGAAAGAAATAAACAATGAATTAATCCTGTAGTTGTGCCAGTACATAATAGTTGCATGTAAGGCACTGTCGCGTTTACTAATATCCAGGATGGTATACTATTACTAGATTCAGCCCCCTCACCACCTGTCACCCACCTCCACCCCCGTACACATCTTTTCTCACAACTTGTTAGATTAGTGTAGTATACCATGCTAACCTTTGAGTTTGGCTCTGCAATTTTTATTCTGCAGTCAACCTTTGAGTTTGGCTCTGCAATTGCAGCGCCAACATGTTAGATATTCTGCAGCCAACCTTTGAGTCTGGCTCTGCAAATGCAGCGCCAACTTGTTAGATATTCTGCAGTCAATCTTTGAGTTTGGCTCTGCAAATGCAGCGCCAACTTATTAGATATTCTGCAGCCAACCTTTGAGTTTGGCTCTGCAAATGCAGCGCCAACTTGTTAGATATTCTGCAGCCAATCTTTGAGTTTGGCTCTGCAAATGCAGCACCTACTTGTTAGAAATTATGCATGTAAGCTTTCAGTTTGGCACTGCAGTCGCAGCGCCAACTTGGCACAAATTCTGGACAAGATCAACGCATATAAAACAATCGTTTTTTGTAGAATTTAGTAACACATAATTTTTTCTGGAAAAAAACTGGTTAAATATATCCGATTAGCATTATAAAATGCATTTTTAAAAATTTGTGGACAATATTTGAAATAAAGGTACAATTTTGCAGGATTTTCTCTAAATAGAATATTTCACTTAGCTTTAAAACGTGTTTTAATAAATGGCAGCATCTTTCTGACATAAATAATATATGAAGTCATATTGAATTAAACAATGTATATTGGGAAAACATAAACTGACTCCAATATTTCATCTATGGGCGCTTTCCATTCAATGGCTTGACCGGTGAGACCTGAATACTTTTCTCAGTATCAAAGGAAAGATCTGGTCTATGTTTCTCAAATGTCTAGCGAAAATGGACCTCATTCTAATGTTATCAAAAATTTTCGGTTAGATAGGTCCGAAACCCAAATGTTTCATTGTGTTTCATTCAACAATTTGACCGTTCTGACCGGTTTGGCCATGTTAATGGAAAGCGCCATATATATATATATCTTTTTTATTCAAACTTGTTTGGCATTGTTCAGCAAACAACGAAGAGAAATAAGATTGCAGTGCCAATTTTTCAATTTGTCGCTGCAAATGCAGTGCCAAAATTTCAACTTGGCGCTGCAAATGCAGTGCCAAATTTTCAATTTGTTGTTGCAATTGCAGTGCCAAATTTTCAATTTGGCGCTGCAAATGCAGTGCCAAAATTTCAACTTGGCGCTGCAAATGCAGTGCCAAATTCTTAATTTGTCACTGCAATTGCAGTGTGTCAAATTTTCAACATGGCGCTGCAAATGCAGTGCCAAATTTTCAACATGGCGCTGCAAATGCAGTGCCAAATTTTCAATTTGTCGCTGCAAATACAGTGCCAAATTTTCAACTTGGCGCTGCAAATGCAGTGCCAAATTTTCAAATTGCCAATTTGTCACTGCAAATGCAGTGTCAACTTGCAGTGAGAAATATAAATGCTTCGTAGTTGCGATATCGGGCAAAATATCTCCGTTTTCTCATCGTTTTTATTCGGGTTGCAAAATATTGTATTATATTAAAGATTTTTCAACAAGATAATTTCCCATTCCTGCTAAATATGCATGATTTTACAATAAACGGCATTGCTATTCTCATTTGCTTCAAGATCATTCAATTTCATTAAAATTTCCTAATTTCTTGCAATGCTGCAGTTCTTGATTTTGTTGGGTTTTGTTGCAAATATTAATAAAATGTAGGGAGTCCTGCATGAATGAATAGACAGATTGCAAGAATCTCATTATATTCCAATTATTAGCAGCATATTGGTCAAATTTCGTGCAAAAACAGCAGATTTGCTTAGGTTTTGTCCGGAATTCAGTTAAATAGAATATTTCACTTTGCTCTAGAACGTGTTGTCTAAAATAGGTTATAAATATGTCGGATTCTATAAGGGTGGGTTAATGATAAACTAGATAGTATCGGGTTCACGTATATCCGGAAATGGCTTGAACTTCCTATTTCTGCAACCCTTAGTAACGTACTACTTCCTCACAATAAATTTGGATTAAATATCATTCTACCTTCAACCAAATTCCTTCA